TCTCTGTGGTATTTGGACTTGCACAATACTATTTCATCAATTTCAACATTTGTTGATTTCACCTTTACTTAAATTATTAGTATTAAAAGGCATAATTGTTCAAAACCTATTTCTGGATGATTCAAGAAATACGAAACAGCAACATCTTTACAAAACGTCTAATCGACAAGTTTTTGAAATAAACCCATCCGAATTGAAATTCAGCTTCCGTATGTGTATCGAGACACTAATAACATGTGAAAATAAAAAATAATACTTGCTTTGTTGTCAAATGGGGGCCGGTGAAAAGCATACCATAAAAAAACTTTTGTAGCATTTACCACCATGATTTGATCTTTAATTGGATCTCCAAATATGCCGTGAACTTTTTTTGGTTGAGCTTGAACATTTGTTTCCCGCATCCACAATTTGTTGTCCAAACAGTTGTTTTTCAGCCTGCCATTGCAAAATATCGTTATGTTAAACTTTTTTTCTAACGCCCATATCACCTTCGTCCGTTCCTGTTCCGTGCCCAATTAAAGTGAAAAAAACGACAAATGTTGGGTGGAAGGGAAGAAGCAGCGAATAAAGTGAGAGAAAACAGCGAATAAAATGAGGGACGAATCAAAGAACGAGAACGATAGTATGGCATATGCTTGTTTTATGGTTGCTAATTGCAAAAATGATTTAAAAACCCTTTAAAAATTTTCAGCGATAATTTTAAAAATCAGCTTAAATTACTAATTAAAAATCCATTTTCAGTGGTCAAGCATCGGGACACGCCCGAATAGTCGCGCGGCCATAAGGTCGCCAGGCCATAACTTGCATTAAGATAGCCGAATCTTTCCAGATTTAGTATTAAACGATTCCTCTCGTCGAGATAAAGAGACTGGTACCAAAACTGAAAGGGCCAGAAATTTTTTAGCAAGTTATGGCTTGGCGACCTTATGGCCGCGCGACTATTCGGGCTGTACCCCAATTACTCCTTTGTTCTTAAAAAACTTTTTAAAAATGAAAATTCGTAATATCAACTTATTTATTTTTTATTTTTTTCCAAAACTGTGTATGTACTAGAGACCGGAAAAATCGTGTTTTTGGGATCCCGCGTGCAGGATTTTTTTAAAAATTTTTGCGGGACAGGATTTTGCGGATAAATCCCGCATCCCGCAAAATCCCGCATTCTAAATTTGCTAAAGAGATTGGTACCAAAATCGATAAGAGCCCGCAACCCCGCGCGGGATTGCGGGATTTTTTAAAATTTTGAAAAAAAATCGAAAAATTACAAAGGAAGGACTGGGACATTAGGGCACCGCCATTAGGGCGTGGCCGTTAGGGCGCGGGTCATTAGGCGCGGCTGTTAGGGCGCGGGTCCCGTTGACGGAACATCTTCCACCGTTAACGGAACACCTTCCCCCGCTAAAAGAACATCTTCCCCCGTTGAAAGAACAACTTCCCCCGTTGACAGAACATCTTCCTCCGTTAACGGAACAACTTCCCAAGTTCTCGGAACAACCAACCACTTTCCTTGGAATAACTTTCTTCGGAACTTCCGGAAGTAAGGGGGTTTGGAACAACTTCCTTGGTGTTCGGAACAACTTCCCCAGTGTTCGAAACCCCATATCAGGACTGGACTTCAAGACAGTAAATACTCCATTTTCCAAAATCCCGCAAAACACATAATATTTTGCGGGATCCCGCATGCGGGATTTTTTTCAAAACTTTTGCGGGACAGGATTTGCAGGATAAATCCCGCAAAAATCCCGCAAAATCCCGTAAATCACAAAAAGTGAGGGATTGCGGACGCGGGATCCTGCAAAATCCCGCGCGGGATCCTGTCCCGTGCGGGTCTCTGTCCCGCGCGGGTCTCTAGTATGTACTAATTTTACCCGCAATCTTTACAATTTTTTAAATTTTATTTCAGACTTTTATTTCAGACCATGGTTATCTGTATTTTTTGTAATGTTGAATTGACTGAATTTAATTATAACGGGTGTGGTTTTCGTGTTTGTCGTAATTGTTTATATAAGATGAATTATCCGCCTCAACCACAACAAGCAAATATTGTTGCACAATCTTTGGGTTTATTTTTTACTTTTTTTATTGGTATAGTGTTGGGATTCTAAAAATAGAGGAAATTTTGGGCGCTCTTTTCTTATAGGGAATGGACTTAGCAAGTGTCATCCGATGCTCGATGATCTAAGTCGAAGGAGGGGTGAATGGTGTCGGTCTGCCAACAATAGGCCTACGTACGGGTCCCCGAGAATAGAAAATCAATGAGTCCTGGCTCGTTTCTTTAAACGAGCCATAATTTGCAGTTTTACTTTTAGACCCCAAAAATCAACTTGAACCTCTGAGCCTCTTGACCACTTAGAGCCATGTAACTCGGTCCACGGTTGTCTTACCGACACTATTCACCACTCATCCAACTCAGCTCGTTAGAGTTGATGCACCAAAATTTCGCTACAAACTTAGAGATGGGTCTGATTACAGCCCCTGAAGATTTAAAAACCGTAGGGAGGGAGGGGGGGGGGGGGGGGCAAGCTAACCTTTTGGGGTAAAGGTTCAAATATGAAAATGATAGGTTATTTGAAAGAGCTCGAACCATCCCCTTCATTCACTCTCGTCAGATTGCTTTTAACTCTAATGGGAAAACTCGATTAGCTACGGGGAATTTCTGGGGTGAAAAATTTGAATATGCCTCCTAAAGCTCTTTCGAATGAATTCATCTGCCGAGTCAACAGAAAAACAAGCTCGTTTGTATAAACTTAGAGATGGGTCGGATAAAAGCCCCCTTTAAGCTATAATTGGATATACACTTTTCATAAATTATGAAAATATTTTATCATTTTTAGGGAACATTGACGATAAATCAAAAAACAAGGGAAAGTGCCAAGAAAAATGGGATCAAGAATTTCGAGGCACAACGGTCGGTTTATAACTTTAGAATAAATTTGTAGAGATCGAGCTGGTTCTGGATCCAGTCCTGGATTTTTTCTTGACCTAAGGTCCATGAGCTGGTCAAGCCCCCCCCCCCCTAAAATCAAGGTCAAGATTTTTTGAAAATTTATTATTTTTAGCCGCAAATAAAGAAGGGAAAGATGTTCAAAAAAGGAATGGATAACCAAGATACTTTAGCGCAGGTCATAAAAAATTAGAAAAAAAATTAAGAGGAAAATTTTTTGAAATTTTAAAAGTTTTTCAAATTCAAAAAAAAATTTCCTGAATTTTTTTTGAATTTTTTCCAAGAAAATTTTTTAAATTAAAAGTTTTTTTTGAAAATTTGTTTCAATCTTGACATATTTTTTTTATTTTTCGAAATATTCATGTAAAATTCTAAAAAAAATTTGCATGTTAATAAACGCCTTAAAAGTTGATATTTTCCTTATTTTAGCCATCCTCTCATTCTTTTCAATCAAAACAAGTTAAATCTTCAAGCGAATTGGGTGGTATTATTGATTCCAGTTACAAAATAAAACCTCTGGTACATTTTAAAATTATCTTTATAAAAATTGAAAATAATGTGTGACGGGGCTGTGCGCCTAAATTTTCGCGTGACGCGCCAAACGCCAATTTTTCAAATTCTTAAAACACGCCAAACGCCAAAATCGGCCAAAAATGGACGCCAAACGCCATGGCGCACAGCCCTGATGAGTGATTATTTCCTTACCTTGCACTAAAATTGGTTTGTACCCATTATTTTCGATTTCTCTTGAAATTTCTACAGTCAAACCTCACTTTTCTGTATGAATTCCTCGGGGTCAAAAAGTCGCGTAAGTTAAAATAATACATTGGATTAACACTCCACCCACCCAGAGTTATGTATATATGGTCTAGAGAAGAAGCACCATTTGTCCAAAAAAACTTGAAACTTATTCCTTTAACAGTAGTCCATGTGTCCTTTCATGAGAAAGGTGTCCGGAAAATTGGGCTCTGGAAAATTGGGCTCCAAGATTTTTCGGAAAATTGGGCTCCAGCGGAAATTTGGGCTCTACGTGAAAAAAAACGGAAAATTGGGCTCCAATTTTTTAGGCGCGGGGAATTTTGGGCGTTAGAGTGAATTTTTAGATTTATCCGAAAAATATCACAAAATTCTCTGGAATAACTTTTTTTGTACTGTTACTTAGTGGGTAGGTCGACATTTCAAAGCTGAAAATCAGTAAAAAGGAATAGGTTTATGTTACTGTTGTAGAACACAGCGACCGTTGACTTCCGCGAGGCGCGTGCCGCAAAATCCCGCGCGAAGCGCGGGATTTTGCACAAGCGCCTTGCCTTCGCCAATAGGTTTACGTTGTTTGATTTTGTGTCATTTTTCGTTGAAATCCAAATTTCACTCTGACGCCCATAATTTCTCGCGCCTAAAAAATTGGAGCCCAATTTTCCTTTTTTTTCACGTAGAGCCCAAATTTCCGCTGGAGCCCAATTTTCCGAAAAATTGGAGCCCAATTTTCCGGCACTCTTGAGAAAGGAAAAAGAAAGGTGAACAATAATAAAATAGGTATAATGAGATAACCCAATAATACCTAAATAAGAAAAATAGGAATTTTGAAAAATAATTTCTGTCAACATACTTTAAAAAATTTAATTTTTAGCCATTAAATATCGTTGGTCAGAAGCAGTTGTCTCCAAGTGGATGTGTTACTCCAGATTTTTCTAAACCTTCCTGCTCCACAGCACTGAGTAAAAACTAGTAATCTAAGTCAGAATTTTATCAAATCGGAAGCTCTATTCGGATTTCTAGCCTTCAGAAATTTGATTTTTTTTTGCCTTTACGCTTTATAAAAATTTTTGCGTTTGCGTTCCATTTTGGCTGCTTTTTGGTATTTTTAAACTTTTGAAAAATTGGCATTTGGCAGGCCACGCGAGCATTTTGGCGCACAGCGTGTGGGTAACCAACCATATTTTTATTCTTCCATTTTTAAAGTCAAATGGGCAAATTTTAGCGGCGCACGTTTGTAGAGAGGGGAAAATGCTTCATAAAAATTAATGAAAAAATAATAATTTACTTAAAATTTTCAGAAAAGATGGAAGTTTTTAGAATGCAATTGGTTGTTCGAGGATATCAAGGAATTTGGGTAATTTTTATTTTGATAATTTTAATTATTTTTCCAAAAATTATTTTTTAGTTGGATCCTCTGTTGAACAGATTCTCAATTAATTCTTTGAATGGTGGAGAGTTGGGAAGTGTTGTGCTTCCGAATTATGTAGATACGCAAAATCTTGAGTTTAATGTTGTTGATGATATATTGACAGTTATTGGTTATTATCGAATGAACCAATAAATTTTGTTCAGGAATTTTTACACAAAAATAAATTTAAATGTTAAGCTTTTATTTAATTTGAAAAATTCAGAAAAATAAACATTTTCCTGAAAATTTTTTGAATTTTTCAAATATTTGTCTTTTGAGTTGTTAAATCTTTTTTGCTTTCTTTCCAATGACTTTCTGGGGTGTGATCCAAAAGAATGACAGCTATAACGGTGCAAAGCTATAACTAACTGGAAAATTTCTGGCCCTTATCAATTTTAGTATCAATCTCTTTAACTCGATGAGAGAGGGATCGTATAATACTAAATTTGTAGGACTCGGAAATTTCGAAAACTTATGGCGCTGTGCCGTTATAGCCCCGCGACCTTATTGGATGTACCCATTTTTTCTCTATAAACATATAAATATTTTTTGATTAATTTTAAATTGGGTAAATTTGCTTTAAATTTATAAAAACAATTTATTTTAAGTTTGTTTTAATAATCTTAAGAAATGTAGTTAATCAAGTTTTTGTATGGGTTATAAGAAGAATAAACAACCAACGTCTATATGAAAACATGTGTCAGACAATGTTGATGATATAAACATTACATATTACTTCTCCGGAAACATCTATCTAAACATTAGAGATTTTGCGAAAGCTTTCAAAAACATTCTCCGGAAACATAATTTCCTTCCAAACATTTTCCGGAAGCATTCAAAAACATTAAAAAACATTTTCCGGAAAATGTTTTTCTACGGCGTGAACATGTATGTTTTAAAAAACCCAGTTATGTTGTTTTAGGTTTACTAGTTCTGAATTTCGTATCAAACAAAAAATAAAATGTTCGAATGATTTCTCAAACAACGACAAACTATAAATTGTTTACTTGTTTCTCTCGTACATAAAATTTTATCAACATCAAAGTAGAAAGAACATTTTAAACATTTTTCGTTTTTAGATAAAAAAACAATCATTTTGTTTTTGATTAAATTTGGGCTTATCTAGTATACTACTGTAAAGCATATAGCTATTAATTTCCTAAGGCTGAGCAGTAGGCGGCGTGGTGTAATGGCTAACACATCAGTCCGGTCTACTGAAGATGCTGGTTCGCTCCCAGCCGCCGAATAACCTTTTGCACTAGCTAAAGGAGAGAAATAGCTATAGCCCAGCTGCTTTACTCTACCAAAAACAAATATTTAACGTTTTTAAGCATCTTCTAAAATATATTCATTATTGTGCAAAGACACTGGTATATTTTGTTTAGGATCAAAGGTCCTCGACCCAAAGGTCAACGGCGATATGACATCCAAGGCAAGTTACGGCCAATCTCGACCCCGATACATTTTTATTTATCATGAAATAATGTTTAATTTTAGAAGTTATGTATATAAATAATTTTATTCATCAATATTAAAAGTTTAGAATAAAGTACCGTATTTCCTCTATTAGAATGCCACCCTCTATTTGAATGCCACCCTCTAATAGAATGCCACCTTGGAATGTGATTGAATAATAGAATGCCACCGTCTATTAGAATGCCACCCACTTTTATACCGAAATTTTACCAAACATAAAAAGATATCCATTTCAAAGTGTTTCTATTGACTTTCTCTTATTTTCTTGCCATTTTGGATTATTATGAAATCCGAAATAACAAATACGAAATCACTTAACGGGATTTCAAAAATGTCAAACGGGAGTTAAGAATTTTACTTATATTTTTACATAATAGATATCAGGGATACAGGGGACCTGAAATAAATCAGATATCATGAATTGAAGGATTAAGATGAACTCATATTGATAGCGCTGGATTTTTATGGGTTGAGAGGATATAAGTTGATTCAAGTTATAAGAGAATATCAAGGGATAAAGAGTGATTATGGGAGATATCAAAGATTAGAAGGAATAGAGAGGGATTTCGTTCATAATAAGGTAATATTAGCGGATAAGACTATTCGGTGGAGGAATGATACTTGGATTTGGAGGGACCCACTCTATCTCTCGAAATCCTCTTTGACCGCTCGAATTTGTTGAACTTTTTAAATAATTTTAAAGCTCCCTTAAACTTCTTAAGCTCTTTAAATCCACCGATATCGCCACAACTTATCCTATCGCTTTTATTCGTTACAAATCTCTCGATATCTTTTCGAGTCTCTTACTTAATCTACTTCCTAGCCCTTAAATATTATATCCATACTTCATAATCACTTGATATCTTCTTTACTCCTGATATTTCCGATAATCCCTTGTCCTCTCCAAGTCCTCCTTAATCATCAAAGCAGTTAAATTTTTGAATTATTCGAAATTTGATAGAATATTCAACAAGATTTTAAAGAATTTTTACAATTTTATTTATCGAAATGGTCCAAAAATTATCCAAATTTTAAAATTTTCTCATCGAAAAATACAATGCCACCCTCTATTTGAATGCCACCCTCTAATAAAATGCCACCTTTGAAGGTGATTGAAAAATAGAATGGCATGGCATTCTAATAGAGGAAATACGGTATGTTCATTGAATTAAATTCGAATGTTTTTGATTTTATAGGTAAAATCAATTTTGATACATATGTTGATTTATCACAGTCACTTGGTTATCTTCCTTTAAAAAATTTATATGGCGAATGAATTGAATAGTATTTGAGAGTAGATTTTTGTAGCCCTGCTTAGCAGCATTAACACAATTTTTTGACATTTTAAAACAATCGCTTCGAATCGACTTGTTCATTGTTAGATAAATGACAGGTGGTATCCCTTAAATAAATTTTAGATTATGTTTTGGCAACTTTTTCAGATCTAAATTAAATTTTTAACTCCTCAAACATATTTTATTTTAACCGTCTAAATAAACCTGAGAATATTTTATAGTGAACTGAAAACAATTCAATTATCAAGTTATTATTCTAATACTATACGCGCTAATACCTATTCAAATACAAAAAATACATAAGTATTCTACAAAAGCTTCATATAAACAGTCTTGCCCACAGATTGCATATAACCTGATTTTTACTATCATGCTAATAATGCCGAGACAACTATCTCTTTAGTGTATACATCAGTAAACAAAATTTCGATTTAACGTATGTGTTTTGGAAAAGTTTATTTAAATTAAGGTGTAGCCATTTTAATTAACTATATTAAAATAATTAATTTTGTCACCGTGTACATTTAACCAACAAATTTGGCCAATTATAATAATAACTTCATTGACATGGATATATTGCATAAAAAGATAAATAGAAGCAGTGGCAGTATTAAACAAGCTAATCAAAAAGACTTGAAGAAAAATCTAAAATTCGGCTAATAAAAATATTTAGGGTAAATAACCATTTTTTCAGAATAGCTTTGTTGATTTGATTGAAATCCTCCTTGTTTGAATAAAAAAATTATACAAAATGTTAAATAGGAGGTTAATAAGATAGATACAATTAATGGATTGTGGAATGCAAGAATAGGTTGAGTATTTTCATATTCCTTTTAAAGAGCAAAATATAAAAAAAATTTTAAACGAATACATGATTAACATCATCATTATATCCAATGTGCGGATTGCGAAACCAGCTAAAGTAGAAGCCGCTAAATAATCCCGGCTTTGACCACATAAGTATAGATAAACCGTATAATATTGGAATACCAAGCCAAAAAAACAATTTTTTGCCTTTACAAAAAATAAAGATATGGGTTAATAATTTAAATATTAGGATGAATTAAATCCAAACCGTCGAATATTTTTATAGAAAATTCAGAAGACCATATATTAACGCAACGATTGATGGCTAAAACACCCTCTATTGTCGATTCCGTAATCCAACAAGCTAGGTATTAATTAATATTATTAGATAACAATCGGACCTGGTACTTTTCCGTTTTGTTACACCCCATATATTGATGCTCAAAATGTCAAATATAGGGTAATAGAAGATGTTGAGTCGAACGTTACTGTAAGGCGTACTTTGATCCGGATGGGCAAGGATGGAGAAAAGGAACTTTAGTTCCTTTGGGAAAGGATTTAATAAGGGGAGGAGATTGACAGATAAGGCCTTAGGATAAAACTAAGTGGAAAATAGTGAAAAGGGGATCAGTCGACTGTTCACCAGTCAGTTGGAAAGTAATCAATAGAGAAGTGAATAAACCGGCCGAAGAAGCTGAGAGCTTATTCATTAATCCTGCAGAAGAAGCCTAAGAGCTTATTAATCAGCGCATATTATCCCGGGCAAGTCGGTCTCGTAACCGACCAGCATTATACAAGCGCATAGAAAGGCCTACCCTCCGCTCCGCAATATACTCATCGGCATCGCCTCTCGGGACCCTTAACATCGCACGCAACCCGCCCAACATCCCAATACCATCCTGGCCCAGCACAAGCTTTACTGGTAGCACCGTCCCACCTCCCCCCGCCACTGGCCATGGCGGTGGGGAGGGGATCCAGGTGAGGTGCGGAATGGAGGAAGAAAAGCTGCCATTGTGGCATGAGGCCCACGGGCCTACAAAAAAATAATAAATGTATATAAAAATATATACACAAAAAAAATTAATTACTTCAACAACAAAAATTCAAAAAAAAATTTTTTTTTACTTCATTCTTTTAATTTCAACAACAACAAAAATTCTTCAAAATTCTTTTTAAAAAAAAAATTTTTTCTTTTATTAAAAAGTCAACAATGGAAAAATTTCCTTTTATTATTATACTAATTCTTCTACAATCAAAAAAAAAAAGAAATACTTTTCTTCAACAATTTTTTCAATAATCGGAAAAACAATTTTTTTTTTTCTTCCTCTTCAAAATTTCTTTAAAATTTTTTTTTCACTTTCTTTAAAAACACTTTCAACAAAAAAAAAATATATATTTTTTTTTATATTCTTTTCCAATCTTTAAAGTATCAATTAGTCAGAAGACATTACCCTAGACACAAAAAAAAAACCAAAGAAAAATGAGTTTTAGCTGAGTCATTGTCCATTCCAATAAAAAGATTTAAAAAAAAGGTTGCGAACAACAATTTTTTTTACACATAAAAGTGGGGAAAAGAGTAACGACTGAAAATTAAAAAAATAAATAAATAAAATCCTTTTTGTCTGTGTCATAAGATAGAAAGGAACGACTTTTATTCTTTTCCTTTTTTTTCAAATAAAACATTTTTTATTTATTCCGTCTGTCTTCCAAAATACTTTCCACAAAATATATATATAGTTTTACACAAATATTTTTAAATATACATATAAATTAAAGTTGCAAATACCGGTTTTATTTAGGGAGAATTTTTTTTTTTAAATAAAATCGCTTATTTTCAATGTTGTTTTCGGGCTTCAAAATTTTCTAAGAACGGTTAATTTTCAAAAAAATTTTTTTCAAAAACGCCAGCTCTAATAAAAACGTATAGGATATAATATATAAACATTACAATATATATATTTTATTATTTTCTACAATATACTAAAATCATTGCTCAAAAAAGTTTTTATCAAACCATATTTCAAATGTTATAATCCTTTTTAAACAAACATAATATAATTTTTCGCTCACAAAATATTCGATTTTTATATATCTGTTAATTTTATTATTTAAATCAACGACTACTTTAACACTTATATTAAATATTCTAGTAAATACAAAATAGAAAAAAGAAACCCTACCTTTCTTATCACCATTTTGCGCCGCAGGCGAAAATTTTAAATTATCAATAAACGTGGGGGAATTTTTTAGCAGTTGGCTTCAGTTTTGGCTTTAAAATTACAAAATCAGAGGTCTCACAAAATTCAAAAAAAATCACGAAACACCAAAAATAATACGAAACATAAGAAACAAATAATCGAAACGTTTCGTGTATGTATTGTTGGTACCTCTGTAATGACTCAGTCAAAATCCAAATTTTTTGGGGGTTTAAAAAAAAAATACGATCTGGCATTTTCGTACTTCAGGCGCATTCAACTGTCAAAAAACGCCAGAACGCATTGCAAAAGAAAACAAAACGCTAAAAACTAAAGAAACGCAAAACTGTTTAGACTTAACAAAAATAATTCAAAAAGCAAAGCGCATTTTTTCTATCAATTATTTAAAACTTTTTTTATCTATATTCAAATAAGGGTAATAAATTTGCTTATATATGGCTTTCTACTGCCCAATAAACTAATTTTTTTTTACATTAAATTTTTCTTTTACTCAATGATTGTGTTAAAATCTATTGCTCTACAACAAATTTATTTTTAATTTTATTTGTTGGAGTTTTCAAATATTGCTCTAAAATCCATTGCTCACTCAAAAAAAAAAAAATTTTTTTTTTGTTTATTCGTGTTATTTTCCCCTAAATAATTCACTGTCCAACAATTTTGATTTTTTTTTATTATTTTCGTAACTCTCTTCAAAATTTTCGCGTTCATTATAAAATTCCTCTTTTACAATATTTCCTAAATCTTCTTTAAAGAATTTTGAATGTATGAACCAAAATTTTTTTTTTACATCCAATCCAAAAGGGGTCAAAGGCTCAAAAAAAAAGTTAAAGCAAAGAGCAGGGGAAAGGGAAAAGAGCGGAAGTAAAGATAAACAATCACAATTTAAAAAAAAAGTGAAAAGATTGTTGGGAAAACAATAGTGTAAAGTAAAAGGAAATTAATGGGAAAAAGGATAAGCATTTAAACATTTATCTAAACATTGTGTTTGAGAAAAATTCAGTGTAAAGTAAAAATAAATAAATGGAAAAATGTTTAAAGGAAAGGATAAGCATCTAAACATTTATGTAAACATCCGAAAGGGATGATTAAGCATTCACAGTTATTTAAACATTTAAATGAAGAAGCATTTAAACATTTGCTTAACATTCATGTAAACTGTAAGCAGGAGTCATTCTAATATTTAGAGATTCACTTTTAGTTCTCTTTAACTTATAGCAAGGCTAACACTTAAGAATTTTTCTTTTAATTTTTTTTTATTTAAATTAAAGTATCAATTACAGACAAAATTTAAAAGCTATCAGAAAGCAACAAAAGCAACGATTAATTGGTCTTCATGGTTGGTCCTGAAGACTCAAGCAACAAGGGCATTACGCCCGCGGGTACCAAGGTACCACAAAATTCCTCGTCTTCTTCCAGTTTGGAGGAAACGCCAATCAATGTAGTTGACAAGAAACTACTAATAGGTAAATCCAACACAGCTCAGCTGAAGATACAGGACATTGAACAGGTATTTGGTGAAACAATACGTTTAGAGGAGGGTGTAAACCGCTCTATTCGACTCATGAGTCGCAAGGTAAACCAAAATTCAACAGGGTTAACCAAATTAGCCGAGGAGGTTAATCAAGGGTTTTCCACTTTGGGCGACAAAATAAATAGCTGTGAGCAAAACATTACTGAATTATCTAAAAGAAAGGCTAGGTCTGCCTCTCCAAATAAAATAAGGGTAGGACAACAAACATTAATGCCTCTTATTATTCCAGAACTAAACATTTCGAATCTTAGTGAAAATAATGACAATAACTGGGCTGATGAATCACAGGTGGATGGACAAGTCAGACACCTACCCATGACAAATGATGAAGGCTTTCACACTCTGAACATGCTTCATCACGAAGGTATCCCAGCGCTTGAGGTATATTCTGATGACAATATTATATCATTTGATAAATGGGGAAAGAAATTTTTAGAGAGAATTAAGGTCTTTGGGGTAAAACTTTCAGAAGAAGAAAAACTTGCTCGGTTGTCTTTATTTTTGGAAGACACACCCAAAAGAATCTTTGAAGAGATGTCTCCAACTCAAAAACTAACGTGTGAAATGGCACTTCAAAGCATAAGAAAGGAGTTGGACTCTCCTCAACGACGTGCTCTCTCAAGGCAGGCGCTTTTAATGTGCCGCCAACATGAAGGTGAGTCAGTCAAAGATTTCCTATCACGCTTTAGACCTCTGGCAATGGCTACAGCTGCTGATATTTCTGGTCCAAACAAGGAACGGTACTTATGTGAACTTTTATTAGAACGTTTAAGACCTAACATAGCATTTTGTATGAAATTACTAAACTTTTCACAGACAGATAGAGGTTTTGAACAATTATGCTTAGATCTTCGTGAAGTCGAAATCATGCTACCTGGAGGCACTGGATCAATGTTTGACATGCCAAATCAAGAAGTGCATGCAATGCAACAATCAAATTCCTTTAATGTACCAGGGAAGTTCCAATCACTGAATCCGACTAATCCAAATAGACAAAAGCTCGGTCAAAGGTGGGGACAAAGTCAAAATAGAAATGATTTTCAAAATAATCGAAATAATTTTGGAGAATTTAGGCAAAACAACCTTCGACGAGACATGAACTATCGTGACACAAGACAAATGCGAACACCAACTAATGATCGACGATGGAACAACAGACCTATTTGTAATTACTGCTCGAAAGTTGGTCACTTTGCAAATGTATGTCGCACCAGAATTGCAGACTTTCAAACACAACGTGGTCAAAGCCGAAGGGAACCAGATGTTGGTACATCAAATATGCCCAATGATAGTGGTATGCTAAAAGAAATATTATCAACCCTAAGGAACATGCAGGTGGGAAGTTCTAAAAATAATGGATCCCCACAAAATGTTAATCTCCTACATGGTAAAACAAAGCCAATAAACGAGGAACCCGAAGAAAAACAATTAAATGTTAAGAAGGAAAAACCTTTTATTGTCTCTTGGGAACCTTTTAAATTAAGTCCCAAACTACTCCCAATGGTAATTCTGGTATTAGCGCTAGCAACACCGCTGCAGGCAATTGAAAAATTATCAATTCCACAGTACCCAATGATATGCCAAACCGAAAAACAGTCTACTTTATGGTCTCTTCCTGACATGACAGACTGTCCAATACCCGCTCCAAATATTTCTCATGTACCAATTTCACAAACTAGAAATGTATATATGTTAAATGACTTAGAGTACACAACCCAAGGATGGGCTTGTAGAAAAATAAGAAAAACTCTTAGAAAATTTACAACCCTTTCTAATGTACCAATCAATGAACCTGTAGGCTCAGAAATTCTCCCAGTAGATGAACAAGAATGTAAGAGAATGATTAAAAATAAAGAATGTAGTCTAGGTAAATTAATTGAAGAAAATGATCTTTGGACCACTTCAAATAAAATAGACGCGAGTCCGAAAATGTGGTTTATAGGATCGTTTTGGTGGACCGAGGTCAAATCCGAAAATTGCTTATTATTTAGTGTACAAATTAATTCCCATTGGGGTGAAGAAGGTATAGGAACCTCATTTGGGGAAAGTAATAATTGCTCCTATTCGAAGGGTCTTTGTGTATTAAGTGACAATACTGTACTAAAATGGGAACCCACAAAGGATAGAATGTGTCGATATATCAAGATTGGGACTTGGGAAGGAAAATTTTTAGATAACACCTGGTTGTCGGATGACGCACAATTAGCACTTCATTTCGCTAAACCAACTCCAAAATTTTGGGATTGCAGTAACATTCTAGAAATTTCCGAACAAGGACTAGCTACAGTCACTAGGCGTCGCTCTAAAAGAAGCGTCAGTCATCCAAAACTTAGTTTAGTAACATCACCCGAAATGGCAGCGAAGCTAACATATTTAGACAAAGAAATGGCTGACACTCTAACATTTACTTTCACGCACTCGCTTAAAACCTTTTGCCAAAATTTGGATCTAGTTAAGAAATGGGCACTTGCTGCATATTTGTCCAACCCAACGGGCTTAGCTAGAATGATATTTGAAAATGACTATGTCACGGCAAAACGAGAAGGGTCATCACTACTGCGTGTATGGCCATGTATACCAATTAAAAATGACGAGTACTCTTTCAAAGCTACCAATCTTAGCGAATGTTTCGACTTAATCCCAATTCAGTTCAAAGCAGAAAGTCGGGAACACTTAGCATTCCTTAATCCACTAACCATGACAATTGAGCCCACAGCTCGAAAAGCACCTTGTTCAATATATGGGAAAACAATTGTAGAAATAAATCATGAGGTACTAGAAGTAAACCAGACCTCAGGGGAATTTAGAAAAATTCAACCTCGTCCAATCAATTTAAGGGAACTCAAATCCTACAGTATACCTGAAATAAAATCACACTCATTCCATCAATTAATGCTAGTAAATCTCACGGATCTCAAAACGCATACATTCATGAGTAACCTAGTCCGTGCAAGCGAAATTTCATATCGCATTGAACAAAAAGATATGCATATAGTAAAAACGCTCTCTGATCAATGGAAAGAGGCAGGAAATAGTCTCGTTACTGAAATTATTGGGGACTATACATGGATTTGGAAGGTCATAATATCAATTTTAATAGCCATATTAACTCTAGATTTAGTAATAAGATGGGGAATTAAAGCAGCAGAAAATTATTTAGGACAAGGACAGTTAGGAAATATGCTATTTGGTCAAAGTCGAAATATAATTAACAGAGCTAGACAGACAAGCATTAACAGAAACACAGAAGAGATTCCAATGGTCAAAGTTAACAAAAATCCTGAGTTTAAAAGAGAAAAAACTCCAAGTGTAAGGTCACAAAGACGAAAAATGTCTTGGATCCCAAAGGTTTCTAAATTTCCTCAATCGGTAGAAACTGAAGGTCACACAGTAAATGTCATGAGAGCAAATAAAATGTGTGATAAGAAGTTGTCGAAAGACATGGATGCCACGGCATCACAAAATTTTTCTATAAATACCCTACAGTCATGTCCCACAATTACCGGGGTGTTTATAAATAACAAAGCAGTAAAGTGTTTAATTGATACTGGAGCGAGCATATCGATTGCTCCCATCTCACTCGCAAGAACTTTAGGACTAAACCTAACACCAGCAACAATTAGTATAACTTCTGCCTCTGGGCATGAAATTAATGTACTAGCTCAAGCTGAAGTATTATTAGAAATGGCGGGAACTAAATTACCTGTAACTATAAGAGTGGTTGAAGACAATCAAATTACAGGAAATAGAACATACCAATTAATTATAGGATGTGACATTCTGAAAAGACTTCCCCCAATAACATTCGATTTTAATAAAGGAAAAATTAATTTTGAAAATAAATTTAATTATTCAGATAAAAATAAGTCAAAGTCAAAAAACATGCGTGTAGCAGCTATTGAAGCTAAAACAATTTTACCAGGAAAACACGGACTTGTTTCAGTGAAAATTAAAACTAATGGAGGAGAAAAATTGGCACTTGTACACTCACTGGACCAAAGGCTTGAGAAGGACCATCTTGCACTCATTGAGGCAGTGGTCACACCAAATGCAAAAGAAAACAAAATTCTGATTGCCAACCCAACAACTGAACCAAAGCACATTTGTAAAGGAATGCACATTGCTCTGGCTGATGAGGTTTGGTCAATTAATGAACAGCCATGGTTAACACAGGTAGAAATCATTAATGTCAATGAATATGTAAACACTGTAGAAGCAAATCCGACATTCAAGGTAGATTTTTCCAAGAGCTCAGTACAGGGGGAAGATAGACAAAAATTAGAAAAATTGTGTGAAGAATTTTCTGATGTATTTAGTAAAACACAATATGATCTAGGGTCATGTATAGCAGGGGAATACGACATTATTACCACAACTGAAGAACCTATAACATCTAGGCCACATAGAGTTCCATTTAAATACCGAGAAGAACTTCAGAAACACATTGAAGCACTTTTAAAATCTGGAGTAATGGTTAAATCAGACACTCCATGGGTATCGAACATAGTTCTAGTACAAAAGAAAGATGGAGGTTTAAGACCTTGCATTGATTTTAGGAAACTTAACGAAGTAACAGTCCCAGACCACTTTCCTCTTCCGCGATTAGAATCAATAATGGAAAGGATAGGAAACTGCAACTATTATTCCTCACTAGATTTGTCAAGCGGTTACCTACAGATTAGATTAACAGAAAGAGCTTCTAGAAAATGTGGAGTAATAATGGAAGATGAGATATACCAAATGACACACATGCCTTTTGGGCTAAGGAATGCAACAAGCGCATTTGCGAGAGTAATGGCGCATGTAATAAGCGGATTAGATGAGTGTGTTCTAGCATATGTAGATGATTTCCTAGTCTTTACAAAATCTCCAGACTTTGATGAACATTTAAAAGCATTAAGGCAGGTCTTTACCAGATTAAGAAAGTATTTTCTAAAAATAAGTCCCAAGAAATGCATATTTGCCTCAAGGGAAATGAATTTCTTAGGATACACAATAAATGCCAAAGGGTACACTCCCAGTATCGCTAAAGTTGAAACAATAAATAATTTACCTGCACCCACCACTGTCAAAGAAGTTAGGCAAGCTATAGGCATGGCATCATTTTTCAGAAAGCATATTCAAAACTTTTCGCTAATAGTTGAACCACTCACAAAGCTTACTAGGAAGGAAATCGAATTCCATTGGGGCGACGAACAACAGCAAGCATTTGATAAAATCAAGAAAATCCTAACTAGTCAACCAGTTCTTGTATTTCCGGATTACGAAAAACCTTTCCACATATTTACTGATGCATCCCTTACTGGACAGGGAGGCGCTCTAATGCAAAAAGACATTGAAAATAATACATATAAAGCTATCGCGTACTGTAGCAGAACTCTAACAATTTCAGAACGCAAATGGGCACCCGTCCAAATCGAATTGGGCGCCATAATATTTTCTTTAAGACAATTCAGACCTTTTATTTATATGGCTGAAATAGAACTGCACACAGATCATAAACCTCTTGCTTACTTACTAAAGAAAGCAGATGCAAGTCCAAATTTAGCACGCTGGCTTATAGAATTGCAAAATTACAATATTAAAATTGTACACATAGCTGGTAAAGAAAATCTACTCGCTGATGCACTTTCGCGACTGCAAAACCAGTCTGAAGAAGAGCAAACTGAACTAGAAGACATTGCAGAATTCCCAGTTTGTTTCACGCTTCCTATAAAAGATGGGCTTATTAATGAACATTATGCTTCAGTTTTAACACTTAGGAAAGAAAATGAAAATTATGCAATAGACATTAAGCAAGAACAAGAAAATGACATGGAAGCTGCAGACTATATTAAATTTATAAAAACCGGGGAACTCCCAGAAGACATATCACCCAATGATCAGGAGAAATTCGTATTAAATGCCGAAAATCTGAGAATTATAGGGGATATACTATGTCACAAACTTCCGAATTTAAAACCACGAATATTTGTACCATCTTCACTCAGGGCTCTAATTTTTGACTCATTTCACTCCTCTCAACTAGGGGGTGGACACATGAATTTGAAAAAGACCCTCAAGAAGTGTAGAAAATATTATTGGCCGAGAATGCACGCTGATATTTTAACCTGGACACGAAATTGTATAACTTGTCAACTTAGACACTCACCCAATCCACCATATAGGGCAGAAATGCAAATGGTACCAGTAAACACACTATTTGCTAAAGTTGGATTAGATCTAGCAGGACCATTCCCATTAACACAAAATGGCAATAAGCATGTAATGAATATAATTTGCTGGTTCACTAAATACGTTATTTCAGTACCGGTACCAGACACTAAAGCAATGACTCTAGCAAAAGCATTTCTCAATAATTGTTACTTAAAATATGGTGGCTGTGTTGAACTAGTAACTGACAATGCCACAGCCTTCACAAGCGAATTCTTTAAGGATTTCTGTTCAATGCTATACATTAATAAAAGCTATGCCACACCACACTGGTCTCAAGGAAACTCAGTTACTGAAAGATCCTTTAGAACATTCCATAATATTCTCTCCAAGTACATAAGTAAGGATCAACCAGATTTTGACGAATTTTTAGACTGCGCATGCTTCTGTTATAACACTTCGATACACACGTCGACAGGTGAAACGCCATTCTTTCTCATGTTTGGTCGTGATCCTATCTTTTGCGTAGACCAAATACTAGACCCGTCAGTGTACAGTCCTGTTGCGTTTACAGACATTTCCGAATTTAAGCAAAGACTAATCACTTCACTTAGATGCGCCTGGGAGGCTGCCGATGAAGCAAATAAGCAAGCACAGTTAAGAGCAAAGACTCAATATGACAAATTAGTAAGAAACCCCACAGTCACAGTAGGAGATAGAGTATTACTCAGAAACTATGCAGGAAAAATAGGTACTTCCAAGAAATTTCATATGCCTTGGAAAGGTGTATTTAGAGTAGTAAAAATTGATGGAGTACATGTCACAATAGTAAGTTGTAACTCACTTCAGGGTACACCCAGAAAAGTACATATAAATCAACTAAAAAAGTGTTTTGAAGCACTAACACCCGCTTGTACGGTACCTGAATTATCGAGTGAAGAAGAAAAGGCTCTGGAAAGAGCTGAAGAAAACGAAGGTATTGAAAATGAAAATATTTCCCAAGAAATAGAAACTCCCGATATACAGGAAAATCAAAACTCGAACACTGAATTAGTACAAAAGAACACTCAAAAGAAATATAATTTACGAGAAAATCCCAAAAAGAAGAAGTTTTCCTTCTAAAAAATAAAACTTATAGGGGTCATACATTCAAAACTTTTACTCTATTCATCTAATTTCACTTAATCAATCTTTTAACTTTCATTCTTTAACAAAATCATTTAAAACTATATCAATTAATCAATTTTTTTTATTCGCGTATTTTATCTTACATTTAATTTTTTTTACATAACCGCGTGTTTAACTCACATTTAATTTTTTTTTTCCTCTCCCAATTCAAGATTTTTTTTTAATTAAAATTTTTAAATTTTAGTTATAAATGGACAATCAAAATGTTAGAAAACGTGGCCGCGGTCATTTTTATTTCAAATCTGAGAAAAATGAAACAACAACAACAAATAAAGCTGGTCTTTTGACCATGGAATCCACGGATTCAAAAAGCTTAAATAAAAATGCTGGTCTTTTGACCATGGAATCTACGGATTCAAAAAACTTAAACAAAACTGCTGGTCTTATGACCATGGAACCTACGGGTTCACAAAAACCAAAATCAACCACACATACAAGTGTGGAAGAAGAAGAGGCTTTCCAAAAGATCATGGAAGATGCTGAAAAAGAAGAAAGACAAGAAATTTCTGAAAGTATGGAAAAGCTCATTCTTGAAGAAGATATGGAAATAAACGAGGAAAATGAAGAAGAACAAATGGAGGAAGGCGAAATAAACGAATCTGAATGGGCTCAATCGTCTTCTAACTGGGAAAACCCGAATAAAGAAGAATCATTTGCTAATAAGGCTTTTGAAAATCAGGAATGGCAAGAAGTAAAATCAAAATCTGAAAAGAAGAAAGAGAAGATTGAAGAGGAAGCCATAACTGCAAGTCGAAAGAAGAGATATGTGGTTTCTCAAGTGCAAGAGAAACGATCAATCGCAGTTATTCCAAACCCTGAAAAATTATCGATGTGGCCGTTTGCAATTGAAATTCCCGATGAACTAACAACTGATCTTGAACGTCCGCTATTTCCAGGAGACTCAATATTCGTAACTAAGTTTGCATGGATTGAAGGAAGAAGACAAGTTACTATTGACAACTGGTATAGAAAGGAAACAGGAATGTTAAGTTACCAAGCCACAGCATTAATGATTGATGTAACACACTTTCCTTATTGGACAACTAAAACAGGAATTATTGTATATTTGAAGAAGAAAGAAGGCAAAGCAGCGCTAGCTCGTGTGACAGCGTATGGAATGGAGAGATCTGGAATGCTATACGCAAAACAATGCAGACACGGTCTTGACTTATCAAAAACACGGCTATCAGAATTTGTAAATCTAAAATTAGCTCCAATCCCAGCTGGTTGGATGATAGGAACAAATTATATAGTTCCACCCGGAGGATCATATAGACTCGGAACAGAAATTATGGCTAAAGAAGGATCTCAAATCTTAGCCTGTGCTGAACCGTTCACTGAAAAATGGCGCTGGTTAACGAAGACAGGACTTCCGAAAGTATTTCCTATTGATAAGGATTATACACTCAAGGAAATGAAGTTGGCTGAAGACATAATTGCAGCAGCTTTAATTACTGCAGCGGAAAATGAAGAAGTTGGTAGAATGGAAACCAGTTATTTCGGAGTAGTTAAACCGATTGAAGATGAAAAGAAGAGAACATTCACGATTAACCACATACACGAACAAAAATCCCACATAGCTAAAGTACTCAGTATTTGGACAAAAGATACACCAGTAACTGCTAAAACTGGTTTTGAAAGGAAGGCATTTGCGAACGGTTACATTAAAGAAGTAGTTAAATGTGACCGAGATGACGGATTACTACAAATTGAAGTTAATATAATTCTAGTCCCAAATGAAGGTCTTTATGAACACGATGAAGACTTTGAAGCTATGACACACGGAATGCTTACAATTATTCAAGTTGCCGAAACACCCGGCGGGTACCGCGATCAAGCAGACACATTCGGTCTTCATGCCCCAACTCAATTAATTAAAGAAGAAAAATCTCCACGAACTGAAATACTCAAATCTTTATTCGGGCGTCCAGGGACGGACGATTCGGTGGTTGGAGGTGATATTCCGAAGGAATTAGAGTGTGTAAAGAGTTTAAATGAAGAACAGCAAAATACACTCTCTAATTGGCTGCATGAAGGAAGGGGGCGCCTACATTACCAGCAGGCGCCCCCAGGTACAGGAAAAACGCGCCTGGCAGCCGCATGTATAGCCGCAGCTCTGAAGAAGGACCCGAAAATTGCAGTCTTGGCCACGGCAAATTCAAACTTGCCTGTGAGCAAGTTGATCGATGAAAGTGCCCAAATCAATCTTGGCAGTGAGATGTTGGCATTCTTCGCCTCGACAGCACGCATCCGATATGGAGATCAAATACTGTTACTTAGAGAACACCAACTTGAAAATAAAATAAAAGGAGAATTTGTAGAGAAGTTAGAAGGTTCTGAGAAGAGAGACGTAACGGATTACCTGGCACACATCAAAGATAAACCACGACACACCAAAGAAAGGAAAGTAGGAGAAATTTATCTGGCTCGTGAGTTCAAAAATGCGATCTTCGGAACCATCTACATGTGTTTAGGAATTCCACGCGCTCATGTATCAACCACTCACCTCATAATCGACGAGGTTACTCAGACAAGCTTCTCCATGATGGTTCACCTCCTTTGCAAATTACCACTTGTCCGGTCTGTTCTCTTGACGGGGGACGTCCGTCAATTGGGCACGCATTTGAAAGAACTACCAGAAGTAATTCAAAGCGGTTACGGTCTTGAAAGCGTGACTGATCAAATGGATAATTGCGAAAGAGTATCAGTCACCATTTTGGAACGATGTTACCGCTCGCATCCCATTATAACTGAATGCTTCAACTATTCCTCGTATGAAAAACACGACGAACGAGTAATCGCTGCAGTTCCCGCATCAAAGCGCACAGGATTGACAAAGCTTGGAATAAATCTTCCGGTGAATAACGTTCCACTCATACTTTTGAATATAAGAGGCACAATAGAGCAGGACAGCGCATCCTACTCACTTTCTTCACCTGAACAGACTGAGGCAGCTATTATAATTGCAAAAGCGCTGGAGCACCGAGATCCTCAAGGTGTTGCCATTATATGTCTATACACGTACCAATGCGAAAAGATAAGAGAAAGACTCTACCAAGAAAATCTACAGGTATCTGTGAACTCTGTAGATGCGTTTCAAAGCCGCGAGCACCGTTTAATCATTCTTGTAACAACGAGCACTAAATCGCCTGGATCAGCAGCTCGCGCAGATGCCTCTGACTTTTTGAAGGATAGCAGACGCGCCACCGTAGCGTTGTCCAGGGCACAAAGTGGACTAATCATTATTGCCGATTTTGAAGCTATACGAGAAGGCGAGACGTGGAGAAGATTCATCACTGCGGCAAAACAACACACTCCCTTTGTTGACGAACGCTATTTGGAGGTTATGGAAAATGAAGAACCAACACGCGACTCGAATGGAATACTCAATGATTTAAAAGGAAGGTCAATTGAAGCTAAAGTAGAAGAAGTTAAACTAATACGTGGTGGTGAACTAAGAACAGGAAGAGGAAAAATGATTTGCAACAGATGTGGAAATCCCGGACACTTGGCAAGAGACTGTAGAAGAAGATGAGAGAAGAAGAAGATAGAAAATGGAGGCACAGACTTGGGGCACATGGTAAAGCTGTAAATTGTGGTGGGTTTGAAAATAAAATAAATGAAAAATAAAATTAAAATTTGGGAAATTAAGAAAAGACCAGGGGACGGTCTTCCCCGGGGTTGGAGGTGTAAGGCGTACTTTGATCCGGATGGGCAAGGATGGAGAAAAGGAACTTTAGTTCCTTTGGGAAAGGATTTAATAACGGGAGGAGATTGACAGATAAGGCCTTAGGATAAAACTAAGTGGAAAATAGTGAAAAGGGGATCAGTCGACTGTTCACCAGTCAGTTGGAAAGTAATCAATAGAGAAGTGAATAAACCGGCCGAAGAAGCTGAGAGCTTATTCATTAATCCTGCAGAAGAAGCCTAAGAGCTTATTAATCAGCGCATATTATCCCGGGCAAGTCGGTCTCGTAACCGACCAGCATTATACAAGCGCATAGAAAGGCCTACCCTCCGCTCCGCAATATACTCATCGGCATCGCCTCTCGGGACCCTTAACATCGCACGCAACCCGCCCAACATCCCAATACCATCCTGGCCCAGCACAAGCTTTACTTTACCCTTCTTTTTTCAAGGAGATGTCTGTGGACCGAGATATAGGCTCGAAATCGTAAAAAACCATACGGGCATTTTGGGGTAAAAAATTTTAATATGCAAATAATAACTCATTCGAAAGAGCTCGACATTCTGGGTCAACTGACACCAAAGCTGGGCAAATGACACATCAACTCAGCTTGTAGAGCTCTTTCGAATGAGTTAATTTGCATATTAGAATTTTTTACCCCAATATGCCCCTATGGGTTTTAACCATTTCGATCCCTATATCTCGGTCCACAGACATCTCCTAGGAAAAGAAGGGTACCGTTCAACTCAGCATCTTCTATTACCGTATATTTGACATTTGAGCATCAATATAGGGGTTTAACAAAACGGAAATGTACCTCGGACCTCGCTAGATACACCGAATTTACGGACCTCAGTTAAGATAATTTTTACATAGGTGTATCAATAACGAGATAAGGCATATAAAAATACAAACAAAATCCGAAGACTCCAGCAAAATAAATAAATTTTGGAGAAGAACAAAAAACATAACCAAAATATCCCAAATATCCCGTGAAAAATCCGGCACATAAAATTGCTGCCATATCAATAACACCAATAACGAACATAATTTTATAACAATTAAATTTTGCCATTAGCTTCCAAATTGAAAACATACAAGGAATATAGAGTATCTATTATATTTAATAATAATTTAAAATTGTTCCTTTTCTCTCCAAACCACTACTACGTAGTGAAAACACTCATATCGGAATTTCTCCAATAAATGAGCAACAATAGGAGAAACATACGAAAAGGTTCTTGAAAATTTGGGCACTGTAATGTTGGGTGCCCAAATTTTCTAGTCCTCCGCCCTTTACTTTTCAAACACAAAAGAATCCCCTCCATTGGAATCACAAGTTGTAATTGGCTCCTAAACTTTTGTTTGGGGTCATAAGTTCACTTGACTTCAAGGCAACATTTAACTAAAGGTTCCCTAAACTCAAAACTAGTCCTCCGCCCTTTACTTTTCAAAATTTAAAAAATTGCCAAAATTTTTATTGACTTGAATGTATTTCAGTACCTCATATATTGTAGACAAAATAATAAAGAAAATTCCAAGTATTTTATGCTGGCGTTTTTCTAAGGGAATTTGTTCAACACTGTAAATACTACAATTGTAAACACGCTCATATTCATCATGACGAAATAAATATAAGTCCATTTCTTTTTAAATTTTTTATAAAAATTTTTAAATTTTTGTTTTAAAAAATTTCGTTTATTTTTTATAATTTACATGCCTTTAAGTTAATTTTACAAATATCATTTTTCATTTCTTGTATAATTATTATTGATAAATAAAAAGTAGTTTATAATTATGTATGTATATTTTAATATGACATTAGAATTTTCAAAAGACAAATGCTTTGTTTGCTTTAAAATTATAGAAATATTTCTAGTAATTAATTAGAAGGCAACAATTTAAAATTCAAATAAAAACAAAAAAATTCTTTAATAATAAATAATATTTGATGAAAAGTACACCTGCGTGTATAACTAAAAAATGGCAAGGCTCTAGACAATTTTTAAAATATTTTTAATTATACTTTAAGAATTTGGAAAAATTCTGTCATATCACCTGGAACCGATTGAGACAAATGATATGTCATTCGAAGAACACCAAAGACACCAAAAAAGAAAAGAAGACACCAGAATCAAAAGACTCCAAAATTAGCTTCGGGATCACCTATGAGCCGAGATATAGGTCGAAAATCTAAAAACCATAGGAGGGGGGAAGCTCAATTTTGGTCTGAAAATTCGATTTATTGAATGATAGCTTATTCAAAAGAGCTCCTCGAGCATAATCAAATGACAGAGTTAACTCATTTAAGTTTCCACCGGTCTTAATTTTTTAAATTTTTGGTACACGTAAGGAATGAATCGCTTCTAAATGCTTCCAAAGACCAGTGGTTGATCCATTTTTCCTACGTAATTTACTCTTGCAAATTGTGCACTCCGCACTTTGAACAATATTGAGGATTTTGTTTCTTTGAGTCAGTATCGTTTCTCGCCGATAAATGGACCGAGAATTTCAGTATCAGGTTCGAGAACGAGAATGAAAAGACCGAGACCGATATTGGAAAAAAGCCGAGAATCTCGTTATCGTCTCGCCTTTTTCAACTCTTATAGAAGACTTTCATGAAAAAAAATAATACCTAATTTTTCTATTTTGTGATTAATTTTCGGGCAAATATATGTACATATTTCTACTATTTATCGGATTTTTATAAATTATTACATAATAAATAATAAAAATATAATATTTTTTCTTAAAGTGCATTTAAGAAAGACCAAAAATAATTTCACAATTTAGTATAAAATCTCACAAATATGTATGTATATTAAATAAAGGTTAAATAAATTTTTAAAGACGTCAAATGAGACAAACGTCTGCTTAATTGTTTAGAGATTAATTAAAGCATTTAACCTTCGATTTTATACCTTTTTTATCCTTAATATAAGGTGATAAATGATGTAAATCATTCATTCATTTAATTTTTTTAAATTTTTAATTTATGAGAGTGAAATAATATTAGGTAATGCTGTTTAAAAACACTTTGTTTTTTGTTTGCAGTCTAAATGAGAAAATAAAGTCATTGGCCCGGTAGCATAAGTAAAAATATTCAGGGACACAAGTTCTATTCCTACAATTCTAAAACTACTGCCTTAGCGTCTGCGGCGCAGGAAAAAGAAATCTGGCATTTGACCTTCCAGAATTCTGAAATTTTCGCTTTTGCACTGAAAATGAAGAAATCTGACTTCTTGTTCTTTCCAATTTCTCATAATTTTCAACAGCGCTCTAAAAAGAAATGAAATCCGTGAAAAAGAGTCGCACGTCAGTTAAGGCCGCATGATTAAGTTCACTTTAATTCATCTTTCTCTTAGTTACCTCCTCTTAGCTACTTGAATGACTCTGCTTGAAGTTTTGTACCTCATCAAAAAGGGAGAATTTAGGCTCATTGACCTTTTAATTACCAAAATTTTCGCCTGAGTCGCCGAAACAAGAAATTATCGTTTATTAAGAAGGTATTTCAGGACCGGATTAATAAAATTTTTCGAAAAAAATTCTCAAAATTTTCAGCGCTTGGATTGGCGTGATATTGGCGAGAGATTTGGAGTAAATCTTAATCACAAACTTGAACGTAAGAAAATACCCGATGTCCTATTACTCCTCAAAATCACTCATTCCTCACATAGATAACACTTAATCCTAAATTCCCTCAATAACCCTGTTAATTTCTCAAATCCATTCATAATTGATCTTGATCCTTCTATATTATCCATTGGGACTCAACTTTACAGCGCCCAGGCGAAAATTTGATAGTAAAAGTTTCGGTTCCGGATTTCCAACTATCCGACAACCTTAATTTCGAATAATTCTTTTAAACAGTATTTTTCATGTTAATTTTATTAAAATTATTTATTAAAGTTGTATTCTTCAATGAAGAATAAATTTAAATTATTTGTCCTTTCATTTACTTTATTATTTTATTTTTCTTCTGAAAATCTACATGATCAAAAAATTTTGGTCAAATCTACAGAAAATAATAAAAACAAGGATGGAAGTGTTAAAATAAATTTGTTGAGAATGCAAGTAATTAAAATTAATTCAATTTACAAAATTGAAATTTTATACGAAATTGACGAGAAAAATGAAAAAGATTACGTTTTTCCAAGTTCAAATCCATACGACTGCAGCAGACCATACGAAGATTCACAAAAAATCAAAAGTAAAATTGATGGAAATACAGGGAAAAAATTAATTTTGATTGAGAATATGTTCTTTTATTCAAAAATAAATAACATAATAATTTGCTTAAAAGAATTTAAAAAATTTGAGGTACTTATTTACCTTGTATCCGCTGGAAAGAGAAGATTGGACATTCTAATCTAACAGGATTATATATAGAAAGAGTTTGCAAAAGTTTAGCCACCGGGCAGGATTCGAATCTGCGACCACCTGCTAGTTGTTGCTAGGCGCTTTTGCTTACTATATGCAGGAGCTCTACCATGCTTTCTCTTTATCCTTTTTAGATCGTTTAACCCCCGCCTAAGCGTTTTAAATGCTGCTGGGTGAATCATCCTTACAATATTTTGTGACCATTTTTACAAAAAATAAATTAATTGCTTCCAGCGGATACAAAGTAAATAAGTACCCAATTTGATTATGTAAAGTTTAAAATTTTTATTTAAATTTTTAAAAATCGCATCATTAATTGTAAAGTTATAGCTGCTATTTAATTGCTAAAGCTTTCAAGTAAGCGTCGTGGTGTAATTTATGGATAACATATCAGTCCTGTCCAGAGATGTTTCGAAACAAAAAAAAATCTTCGAAAATCTGAAATCGAAAGAACAAAACCCTTGAAAATCGAAATTTCGAAACAATTCTGGTCCGGTCTACTAAAGATCTACCTAAGTAGAGAAATGCTTTATTTAATTCATATACCAATTGGGAACGAAAAAATCGTAATAATAATATGCGATATTTGAAAGAAAATCATGAATTCTAGCATAAATGTTTAAGGGCCTGATAGATATATGGAGTAAAGCATCTGGGCTATAGCTATTTCTCTCCTTTAGCTAGTGCAAAAGGTTATTCGGCGGCTGGGAGCGAACCGTACCGGACTGATGTGTTAGCCATTACACCACGCCGCCTACTGCACAGCCTTAGGAAATAAACAGCTATATGCTTTACAATGGCTATATAGATACGAGATCCTATGTTTTTCACTTTTAGAAAGCAATAATGACTTTGTCACCTCTGTCTTTATTCGATTTTGAAGTCAATAAACTGTCAAATGAGACTATAATAAATGCTTCTCGAGATCCTGGTGTAAAAATAAACATTAATGGAATAAAATCAGCCTTTCGGAAATTTAACAACAATTATGCTATATTAACAAAATTAACATGTTTTTTGAATCTGGAAGGGCCTAGAAAAACTTTAAAAAGAAAACATTTTAGCAAATTTGAATTAATTGAGTCAACTTCAATAAATAGCAAAAAACATCAAGAGAAACCCACTGTCATTAAAATTTGTTTAAAATTTGAAAATCCAGGGAATTATATTATTGGCTTAAATGGTACAGATAAGGGAAAACTCCTTTTATACGTCAAAATTAAAAAAGCAAACAAGGAAAAATGTGTTATTAAAACGTTGACGGATCTTTCTGATGTGTACAAAAAAATATTGGAAGGGTTGAGGCATCGCATAATAGTTACAATATCAAAAACTGATGTTGATAATTTTGAAGATGGACAAATGGACGTATTTACAGGCTTGATAATTCAATATATTGGCGGAGAATCTGTTGCTATGATTACACATTTAATTAATGAAGGGAGTTACAAATTTTATTCGGATGAGGATGGATTAACTAGTGAAGGAATTAAGTTTGCTGAGGCGGATAACGAAATAGTCAATTTTTAAAAAATCCTGACAAAATGAGAAAGCGTTTTTATTAAATCTGTGAAGAATTAAATGAAAGAAGATGTACAAAAATGTAAAGAAATTAGTATATGGGTACCGGAGTAAATTCCGTAGTAAATTCCCATACAGGTACCGTATATTTCGGCATTGGTAGTTGGAATACATGAGAAGCTCCAACTTTATGAAACTTTGGGCTCTAGATGTAAAAAAATGTATTGTAGGTGGATGTAGGTATCGGAGGGAGAAACTCCCTCTCAAAAAATATAAAATTATAACCTTGTCACAAAATAAATTAAGTGGAGTCGGAAAGACAAATTGTGAAATAATCAGTATGTAAAAAATAGATCCACAGTATTAATTTTAAATTATTTGGAAAAATTAAGAGATTGGAGTTCGAGAGTGATATATCTATTTTTACTAGAGTTGGGCGGGATCGGGATCCCGGTCGGGATCGGGCGGGATTATCCCGGTTTTTTAGAATCCCGATCCCGATTTTTCTGATCCCGAACCCGAAAGACAAGTCCCGATCCCGGTTTTGGCCGATCCCGATCCCGAGCCGGGATCTGGATCGGGATTAGCAATCGGATCCCGATTTCGTCCAATCCCGATCCCGCAGTCGGGATCGGGACCGGGATCATCATTCCAAAATCCCGATTTTACGTCGGGATCCCGATCCCGCCCAACTCTAATTTTCACTAAACCCATTTTTTGACTAAATTACAAAATTTAATCCGACGTCCACAATTCCCCGCACCTAAAATTCTAGAGCCCAATATTCCGTTTCTTCAATGAGCACACTCCAAAATGTTAGAGCCAACCTTCCATTGCCTAAATTTCCGGAAACCTTCTCAAGCATTTTATTTGTTATTTTCATAACAGAACTGCATAAAATGTCGTTTGAAAATATTTTTTATTGATAGAAATGAAAAGTTTCATATTCCATTTCTATTTTGTGAATCAAATTGAGAATTTCAAAGACACCAAATACTTTTAATTCTAGTACTTATGCCAAAACATGCTAGACTGACATTAGCAGCCAAATACAGTCAGTTACATTGGTATAAACTCACCACAATTTTACTGATTCTCCCACTTTTTGAAGTCAGAACGTTCTTAAATTTGTACCAAATGATATAAAGGGATTAGAGTTTGCAAAAGAATTTTTTAATCATTTTTTAAAATAATATTGTCAATTTTAGACTGTTACATTAATATAAACTCAGTAGATTTTTTATACATACACTGCGTTCCAAAAGTATATGCACCCCTAGTTTTTTGATTTTTTATACATTTTTCTTTGTTTTTTTGATTAGATTTTTTGTCTACATATTCTTCTAGATAAATGTGTATGTTTAAACAAAAAAATAAAAATTTCCCCCATCCCGTTTCATTTTTATACACATTCATGCAAAAATCCACTGTTCCAAAAGTATATGCACCCCCTCGTAAAATTTTTATTTAGTAATCAAAAAATCCAAAAAAATTTCTCTAAGGATATCTATCAATATAGATAAGAAATACAAAAGGAACGAAGTTCTAATATACTTCCATCATCGAGATCTTGAAACCAGAAAATCAACGGAAAACAGGAGGTAGACGTCTTTAAAAAATATTTTCGACCCCTTACAGGTGAAATAAAAATTTTATTTTGGGCTTATTTGAAAGCCCTTAAAATTTGCTACAAGATAGCATTAATTTTATTTTGCGAAAAAATTCAACTCCAAGACCTAATATGATAAACTTTCAGGTCATAAAAATCACTCAAAAGCCCCCAAAAAGTGATGAAAATGTAACTTAGAAACTGATCTCATTATTTCTCAAAGATTTATTTTTTCAGGATTATGAGATGAAAACTTTCTTGTAGCAAATTTCAAGGGCTTTTAAATAGGCCCAAAATTAAATTTTTATTTCACCTGTTAGGGGTCAAAAATATTATTCAAAGACGTCTACACCCGGTTTCCCGTTGATTTTTGGCTTTCAGGATCTCGATGATGGAAGTAAATAAAAACTTCATTTCTTTTGTATTTCTTATCTATATTGATAGATATCTATAGAGAATTTTTTTTTGGATTTTTTGATTACTAAATAAAATTTTTTGAGGGGGGTGCATATACTTTTGGAACAGTGAATAATTGAATAATTGGTGATAAAAAAATGAACTGGTATGGGATATTTTTATTTTTTAGTTTAAACATACGCATTTATCTAGAAGAATAAATAGACAAAAATCTAATCAAAATAACAAAGAAAAATGTATAAAAAATCAAAAAATAAGGGGTGCATATACTTTTGGAACGCAGTGTATAAGTGATCCAAAAATTCTACAAAAATTCTTGTGAACATTTCCATCGATATCGAGTGTACAGAGCAGGGGTGTGCCGAAACGGATTTTAAAAAGCGAAACGCGAAATGCGAAAAGCGAAATTAAATTTAAAAAGCGAAACGCGAAAAGCGAAAATCATTTAAAAAAAACGAAACGCGAAATGCGAAAAGCGAAAGTCCAAAAAAGGCGAAAATCCGCGAAAAGCGAAATGCTAAAAGCGAAATTTTTAAAATTTTTCCGGTATGATGGGAAATCTCTAGAGATATGTCAACTCAGTGCTTCGTTGCAAATCAAAGCATCAACTGAGTCTTACAATAGGATTTTGACGATCATCATGAATATCAAGAGATTTGAGAGGATACAGACATAAGCCAGGTTCCATCCTTAATTTTATGTACTATATTTTATGATATTCGATAGTCTGTACCTCGTTTCAAAAATTTCCGTAAAAAATTGGAAGTCCTTAAGCCAGATTTCTTCTCTTTTCTGCACCGCAGGCGAAAATTTTGAGAATTTTGGAAGTTCTTAAGCCATATTTCTTCCTTTTACTGCGCCGCAGGCGAAAATTTTGAGAATTTTGAGGAGACAAGAAGCCAGATTTCTTCTTTTTTTTTGCGCCGCAGGCAAAAATTTTGAGAATTTTAGAGGTTTTCAATTTATTCGGGCTCATTTTTTCTCCAACTTTATCATCATCCAGCTGTCATTAGGGGTGTATAAAACTTTCGCATTTCGCGCAAAAAGCGAAACGCGAAAAGCGAAAAGCGAAAGTCATTCAAAAAAAGCGACACGCGAACAGCGAAATGCGAAAGTCCAAAAAAGGCGAAAATCCGCGAAATGCGAAAAGCGAAAAGCGAAACTCGCACATCCCTGGTACAGAGCCTACATATAGTGATAAAAAAATTCTAAATTTAAATAAATATTTTAAGCTTATTTTCTTAGGGACCTCCCAAATAAAATAATTCTTATTTTTTTATTACCCTATCACAATATCAATTTTCTAAAAATAGAAAATTGATAAAAAAAATAAATTAGCTATCACATGAAAAAAAATTAATTAAAACCCTCCAAACATTTGGCCACCATCCAAAATCAAGGATTGAGTAAAAGCACTTTAATAAAGCTTTCAAATAAATTCCCTCCACTTCTTTTTATTTTCCAATAGATTCATTAAAATTTATTTTCCGTTTATTTTTTAACTCAATTTATTTGTCAAATAAAAATTTAAAAGAAAATTGAATTAAAATCCAAAATGTCAACTCTTCTTTGAAGTGGTGATCTCTTGAAAAATTTTATTTTCTAGGGGGATTAAGCAAAGATTAAAGGTTAAAAGTCCTTTAATTAATAGAAAAAAAAGTAGAAAATTGTCTTCAAATTTATTTTAAAAAATTTATGACTTTTTTCTACCTTGATTAATTAAAGGAAGTTATTTTAAATAGGTTAAAAGGGAGAGGAATTTTTGGATTCATAAAGTTACTTTATTCGTTTGTTGATGAAGATATTTTTTCCTTCATTCAGTTACTGTCTGCTAATATAATCATAAGATGTTGAAACTGGGTTAGGCACGTCACAGTGTTTTCAAGACGGAAGTCAGGGACCAAGAAAATAATTTTACATACATTTTCATTACTAATTTCGCAAGTTCGAGCAAATTGAGAAGTTTAATTAATTTACTGTAAGCTAGTTATGAAGAAAATCTATGCTACAGCAATTTAATTATTCAACAAAATTAGCCATGACCTTTAGTCAGGCTTTCAAAAATAACGTTTTATAATTTAGGATGCAACTTTAAACCATCAAATTATTATAAAATTCATGTTAAAATTAAATTGAAATATTAACTATTATGCAAGTCGACTTACATATTCTTCTTAATTTAACTCACCATAGGGATAAATTAACAGGTCGTGTCCAACTTTTATATATAAAGCTAGTTTGACCCTTCACATGTTTGTACAATTGTTTAAACTTTTTATTAAAATTTCCCAGAATTTTCCCAATTTTTTCTCAGAATATTCTTATCGTTTTCACATGTTTTAATATTTCTCTTTATTTTCCCTAATATTTTTATTTAATCAGATTTACGGGCCAAAGTCCGTATTTTTGGGAAATAAAATTTTTTTCATTATTTCTTTTCGTCTTCAATTATTTATCTTCTCTTTTTATTAATCCTTTGTTTAAAATTTGATAAAAACAAGAGAATATTTTTAATAAAAGAATTTTTTGATAGAAATACTACTGTTTTTATTTAATATATAATATTTCAATTTATATTTATCTATATATTCATTACATTTGAATAGTCGGAGCAGGCCAACTTACCACTGCCTAAAATACCGCAGAGCGGTAATTGGGCTGTGGTAAGTTGGTTGCCTTTGTTCAAAATTGTCGAATCTGGTACGCTTTGGTATTGTTCGATGAGATTTGCGAGCTCAATCGAACTATACCACGGCGTCCCGGATTCGACAATTCTGAACAAAGTTATAGCTTTGCTGTTAGTTGGGCTCGCAGTAAGTTGGGTGTACACAAATAGCGCTTTTGTTATTTAGCGCTATATTTGTACTCTTGCTCTCTCTTCATCCTTTAAATCCCATAACAGTCCTTCCTTATTTTCACAAAACCCCTACCTATTCACTGATATCCCTTAAATCCCCCTTATCAATTCAGAACCTATTTTATCGTCCGATATAAATAACTAGGGTTGCCAAAATGGACCGACTCGGACCGAAAGATCGAGTCATGCCTCGATGTTTGGCCCGAAAAAGTCTCGTACCGGCCCGACTCGATAAATTTGGGCCCGAAAAAGACTCGTAACGGCCCGACTCGATAAAGTTAGGCCCGAAAGTGACTCGTACCGGCCCGACTCGATAAAAACAGGCCCGAAAAAAATTGTCTCGGAAAAAGTCGGCCCGACTCGAACAAGACTCGATAATATTTTTACCAGATTTGTGGACAAAAATGGATGAAATCTGGCTCCTTGGCCTTCCAAAATTCGAAAAATTTTCGCCTGCGGCGCTGAAAAAGGAAGAAGTTTGGTCCTTAGCCTTCCGAATATCTCAAAATTTTTGCCTGCGGCGCTGAAATGAAGGATTTTTAGCTCCATACTTTGCTTCACATCTCGAACTTACTGGCTTTAATTGATAAGCTGGATTACTGGGAGTTATGGTATATAATCCGCGGGATCCCGTCATAATTTGAACTTTTGAAACTCAATCAGTTTTGAGAGTCCACAATTTTCCGCAGTCCGCAATTTTAACTTTAAAATACGCAGTCGTAATCTTCAGTCCACAAGTCTTCCATTCATAGCGCCGCAGGTGAAAATTTTTTAAAATCTGAGGGTTGTAGGCGAAAACTTTTTCGACCGTTCTTTTACAAATTTTTTCCCCCTTTCCCCTATTTCGGCGGGGGGGGGGGCAGTGATTTGGAGGTATATCAAGTGATTTCATCTTTTTTTTACCGCTGGAGTCAAAAAGTTTATGACTTTTTCGGGGGGGGGGGGGCTCTAGCACGATATCCCCGATATATATAACGCACGATATCCCCGATATCCCTTCAAATCTCCTCATTCCTTCTAAATCTTATTACAATATATCACCTTAATCATCTGATATACGATCCTGAACCCCTTAATCATCTGATCTCCTTTAATAAAACCAAATCTAGCAATATCTCACCCCAATCCTCCGATAATTTAAATCACCTTAATTCCTCAAATCCACTGATATCCATTTCAATTCTCTTCAGCCCTTCCTTTACCCTCCTGATCCATCGATATACCTTTTAATTCACAGATATCCGTCCAAATCCACTAATTATTTTTAAATAAATCTTTTAAAAAAAGACTCGAAAATGTCTCGGTGCCCGACTCGATAAAGTCAGGCCCGAAAGTGACTCGTTCCGGCCCGACTCGATAAATTTAGGCCCGAAAAAGACTCGTATCGGCCCGACTCGATAAAGTTAGGCCCGAAAAAGACTCGTACCGGCCCGACTCGATAAAAACAAGCCCGAAAAAAAATGCCTCGACCGTCGGCCCGACTCGAAAACGGCAACCCTATAAATAACTTCTGACAAATTCGTTTATATTCCATTCCTTAATCCACAAATAATCGTCGTTAAATTTTCATTTCGGTTAACCGAGATTTCAGACAGAAATTTCGGTTCGGCTAACCGAAGAATTAGGTGAAAACGACAACCCTAAAAAGAAAACAAACAGTAGAATCCCTTTACTTTTCCACGAAGCATTTTTAATCAAATTTTATATAAGCTTTTATTATTCTTGTATTTTCTAATAAAATTCAATGACAACAAAAGATGACTCATTTACCAAATAACTTCCCAACTTTTTATATGCGCATTCCTTTCTCTTCTCTTTCTTCCCTTGTTTAATTTATCCAATTCATTTAACATTTAACAAATCAACCATTTGTAAATTATGTAAGGAATGTTTAGAATGTTTTTTTTAATTTTTTTGAAGCAAAGTACTTGTTGAAATTGAGACGGTATTTTTTGTGAATTAGCCGGCACCGAAGATCTCGATTTAAATATATCCTAATTAAAAGCCTATACCTTATTAAAGTCTATTCAATGACATTACGTTTAATTATCTATTAGCCTACTTATTCTAATCAAGTATTATTTGTTATTAAAATCCTGAATTCTGTTTTTGATAATTAAAAATCTTATTAAAATCAATTTGTTTAATATGTATTATTTCAATTTCATTATAATATAAATATTTTTTATTCTAATAAAGTTACGCTCTTATTTTAATCTAGGACTGTCGGATGTACTTATTTTGGAAGTACAGTACTTACAAATCGACCTTCGTACTTAAGAAATTGAAAATGTACTTATTTTGGAAGTACAGTACTTACAAATCGACTTTTTGCTAAAAAAATTAAATTTAACCTTAAAATTTCCAATATTTTCGCCTGCTTTAAATTATTTTTCATCTCCTGTTTGAATAAGTAAATATATTTTTTTAATTTTATTGTTTAATAATAAACAAATTTCTTTTTGTTTATTATCAACTACACATACTTTTATTTAATTTATTTTTTATTTTGTCAAAGTTAAAGCAGAAAAAAGCAATAATAATAACAAAACAAAGCAGATAATAATACCCTCTCCCCCTACTACCTCTTTTTTGTTATTTATTTATTGTCATGTACATATGTTTTTATTTTTTAAAGGGGAAGTAAAATTTTCTTTTTTGCACACATTTTTTTATTTTCTTGGCAAATAATTTTTTTTTTCTGACTTTTTTATTTAAATTTTGTTAATTATTTATATTTTTCCGTTCTGTCTGGGAAATAAATTCTAAAAATAAAATTTTATTTATTTATTCGGATTATTTTTCTACAGAGATAGACAGACTTATTAAAATAAAATAAAAAAATATTTTCTTCCTTTTTATTTAAAAACATTTATTTTTATCCCCAATTAAGTTTTATTAATCCCAATTCATTAAAAAATTTATTTAATTTAAAAACATTCTAAATTTTATTATTAATAGTCAGACTTTGCTGTTAGATAGGGGCACTCATTTAGATAATTTGAGCTGTATCTATGTATGTAGTATAATTAACGAATCCAGGAAATTCCCGGGTCTAACTTTGCTTTACCGGGCGATTTTAGATTTGGACAATTTAAATTCAATCGAAAGTGCTCGGAGATGCGGGAAAAAACTCGAAAATATAGAAAATAAAACTCGCGGGCTGAGTCGAATGACACCAAAATTAGTCAGCGAAAACAACTTTGAGCCGGGATTATAAGGCCCAATATAGTCAAAAAACAAACATAGGGGGAAGTAAGCTTCTTTTTGGGGCGAAAAATCGAATTTTTCGCCCCCAAAAATTAGCTTGGTCCCCCCTATGGGTTTTCAAATCTTTAAGGGTCAGTTTTTCTGGATTTTGTTCTCAGGCAAAAAATTCTTGCATATTTGAACTCAGCTCGGCGAAACGAAACGAATTGTTTATACTTCAATTTTCGTTCTTGGTAGACCCATAAAAGTCCTTTACAGATTTCCTTTGGTGGGCCCAATAAAAGTCCTTAACTGATTTCGCAATAATGTTTTCTCATTTATATGGTTTCCTTTTATCAATTCTTAAAATTCGGCTCAACAATCTTCATTCTTTCTTTAGTGATTCCATCCTTATCCAAGTAAAATTCATAACCTCCATCAATAAGCAAAGGAGACATTGCGGCAACAAATTCTGCTTCGATAGAGTTGTTGAACAAATTCCCACTATATACATTCATTAGACCATTTTCAATATCATCTACCACTGTTTGTGATATATAGATTGTTATATTATGTCTCAAATTTTTAAATATATTTTTATCTAAATCAGAAATTTTCTTGAACATTTTGAATACACATTTTTCCTCGTTTATTTTTTTAATTTTAACGTAGAATTGAAACCATCCAATATTAATATTGCTCCAAACTATAATAAAATAATTGCCCGAATTTTCAAATTTTAAACAAATTTCAATGTGAGAATATTCCATTTTCTCTTGATGTTTTTTGCCTTTTAATGAGGTTGACTCAATTAAATTAGCTTTGCTAAAATTTTCTCTTTTTAAATTTTTTCTAGGCTCTTCAGGATTAAAAAAACATATTAATCTTATCAATTTATTATTGCTATGAGAGTTCTGTAGTAACAATGAGTCTATTCCGTTCATTTTTATTATTCTCTCATTTGACAGTTCATTTATCTTCAAATCTAATTGTGGAGGGAACGTAGGCAACAAAGTTATTAATAACTAAAATTGAAATGATTGACTTCAAAATTCTATATAAAACAGGGATTTGAGGGGTATCCGAAACCCGAGAGCCGAATCCGGTATTTTTCGACCCGAAACCCGATTCGAAGTAAATTCTTAAAACCCATCCGTAGTCCCTGATGTATAAACAGAGGAGTATATATTCTATTTATTTCATGTTTTCTCTTATCAAAGACTTATTATTAGGGCGTGTCAAAACGTGCAAATGCATATTTTGTATGCGGATATGCCGTGAGCTGAAACACTCAAAAATGGTGTTTTTACATCGGTACGAACATTAGGGACCGGGTTCTTTATGCATATTTTTGCATATTTTGGTACTTTCGTGCATATTTGCATATTTTTGCATATTTTGGTAAATTTTGCATATTTTTACCAAAATTTGTACTATTTTGGCATTTTTTGAGTAATTTGCAGGCTAAAAATTATTTTTTGGCATAATATAAAATTTTTTCAAAAATTTTTAAAGAAAATTTTTTGGAGAAATATTTTCGAAAAATATTTCTGAAAAATTTGGTTCAAAAAATTTTTTTCATAAATTTTAAGTCAGTAAAATCTTTTAGAACTGCTCTAAATTGCTATTTTAAAGACTAAATTATCATTTTTAATTAAAATACTATTAATTTTTGAAGCACATTTTTACTGTTTTTTGCTGCATATCTGTGCATATTTTGGGAAATTTTGTTTATTTTAGTGCATATTTAGGCCTTTTTCGGTGCACATATATGCGCATATTTTGGGTTTTTCCGTGCATATTTTGACACGCCCTACTTATTATCAAATTAAAAATATCGGAGTTCGGATACCAGATCCGATATCCGAAGATTTTCAACTTCCGACAACCTTATCCACATAATCTAAGCAAATATAAATTCTTTTTATTATTTGATTCAAGAACAAATCCTCAATCAGAATTAATTTTTTCCCTTTATTTCCATTAATTACACTTTTTATTTTGTGTGTAGTTTCGTTAAAGCTATCACAATTGTATGAATTGGAACTCGTATAAATACGATCTTTTTCATATTTTTCATCAATTTCGTATAAAATTTCAATTTTATATTGGGTAATTTCTTCTTCTCCAATTTTATTAACTTCCATTCTCAACACATTTATTTTAACACTTCCATCCTCGTTTTTATTATTTTTTGTAGATTCAACCAAAATTCGATGATTATTTTTATAATCAGAAACAGAATAATTAAAAAATATTAAAAATAATATTTTAGAAATAAATAAAAATTTAATTAAAAACATTTTTTTAATTTATTTAGCTTTTAGTTGATAGTTTCACCTGTATTTTATACAAATTTTTAAAGGAGAAATTGTTTTGAATTAAAAATTATTTCATAAATGTACTTTTAGAAATTATGACAAATTTTATTTTTCATAATTGCACTTTAAGGAAAATATTAACCTTTGATAAATAGCGATTTTATTTATTATTAAATTTATTTACCTATAAAATATTACTATGAAATATTCTCCTCCTTATGTATGCACTTTAGAAAAAATATTTTGCCGGTAAAAGTAGAAATGCCTTTTGTGGACATATAGAGAGCTAGACTTTTATCGGCAAAATATTTTCTCAAAGACTTTTAAAGTGCATACATGAGGAGGAGAATATTTCATAGTAATATTTTATAGGTAATATAGCTTAATTAGGAAATAAAATCTTTATTTGTCAAAGGTTAATATTGTCTTTAAAGTGCAATTATTAAAAATAAAATTTGTCATAATTTGTATAAAAGTACAATTATGAAATGATTTTTAATTCAAAACAATTTCTCTTTAAAAATTTGTATTATATAAAATAAAACACAGGTGAAACTATCAAATAAAATTAAAGTTTAAAAAATGTTTTTAATTAAATTTTTATTTATTTCTAAAATATTATTTTTAATATTTTTTGAATATTCTTTTTCTGATTATATTAAAAATAATCAACGAATTTTAGTTAAATCTACAGAAAATAATAAAAACGAGGATGGAAGTGTTAAAATAAATTTGTTGAGAATGGAAATAAATAAAATTGAAGTGAAAGAAAAATATAAAATTGAAATTTTATACGAAATTGATGAAAAATATGAAAAAGATTGTATTTATACAAGTTCTTATTCATACAATTGTGGTAGCATTAACGAAACTACACACAAAATAAAAAGTAAAATAATGGAAATAAAGGGAAAAAATTAATTTTGATTGAAGATTTGTTCTTGTATCAAGAAATAACACAAATAAATATTTGTTTAGAAGAATATATTGAATATTCTTATGAAACTGAGATTAAAAAGGTAAACAAATAAAATCGGACCACTAATTTCACTTTGGATAAAATATCGTAAAAATATAGGTAATGTAAGAGATGAGATAAAAGTTTAGAACGATTACATGTTATAAATAGAGCTAGGATTATAGGCAAGATGCCTGTTTTTTCCTATACATATAGGCCAGATGCTGAAACGTCCAAATACGGTGGTATTTTTAGGAAATCTGCTTTCAAACTACTTTTATCCTTCTTAATTTGCCTTTTTTAAGATTTTAGTGCATATTTTATCAGTTTTACTGCCTAAAAATCCTAGCATAGCTATACTACATATGCAGATTGCTAGGCTTAAAATTAAATTTTAATTATTGTAAACCCTCCCTTCCTGTTATACCAAAATGCCAATCAAAAGTACAAAAATCTCGATTTAAAAGTACATAGGGACTAAATTTCCAAATAAAAAGTACACTTTAAATTAAATTAGGCCAGAAACAAATAATCTAGTATAAGTCATAATACAGTAGTTTAATTAGGTTTTTAAAAAGGGAGCCTTACTGTCGAAAAGGACCTCTGATGAAACTAACCTCTGACGAGACTACAGAACCCCTTTATTTTAATTTTAGTTATTAATAATGGTGTTACCTATGTTCTCTACACAATTAGATTTGGAGATAAATAAACTGTCAAATGAGAGAATAACACATTCAAGTATATATACAGATATGATAATAAAAATGAACGGAATAAACTCATTGTTACTACAGAAAGCTCAAAGCAATTATAAATTGACAAGATTAATATGCTTTCTGAATCCGGAAGGGCCCAGAAAAATTTTGAAAAAACATAATTTTAGCAAAGCTAATTTAATTGAGTCAACTTCAATAAATGGCAAAAAACATGGAGAGAAAATGGAATATTCCCATATTGAAATTTGTTTAAAATTTGAAAATCCAGGCAATTATTTTATTATCGTTTTCAATCATTTTAATGTTGGATGGCTTCAATTCTACGTTAAAATTAAAAAAGCGAAAGAGGAAAAATGTGTGTTCAAGATGTTCAAGAAAATTACTGATTTTGATAAAAATATATTGAAAGATTTGAGACAACGAATAGGAATCTATTTATTACAAACACAAGTAGATGATATTGAAAATGGCGTAATGAATGTATATACTGGAAATTTGTTCGAAAAACATCCCGAAACAGAATATGTTGCCGCAATGTCTCCTTTGCTTATTGATGGAAGTTATGAATTTTACTTGGATCGGGATGGAATCACTAAAGAAAGAATGAAGATTGTTGAGTTCTAATCTACTTCTAAATTCTAATATACTTCCATAATCGTGATCCAGAAACTTGAGAATCAACGTAAGTCCGGGGTGAATGTCTTTAAAAATATTTTCGACCCCTAATAAGCTAAATTTAATTTTTATTTTACACTTTTCTGAAAGCCCAATAAATTTACTACAAAATCACCAAATTTCATTTGGCAGAAAAAAATTTCATTGAATTGTAAAACTTCTTTTTAAATCATAAAATTAATTAAATAAGCAATCAAATTTATTATTAAGTGGTTTTTTTGAAAACAAATTTTCTATATGAACATTTTTTCCCTTACCTATTGGTATAAGTAGAATATAAAAAAACAATTTAAATTTTAATTAATTTAATTTATTTCGTTAAACTGGAATAGCTTACCTAATGAAATTTTACAAACATATAATTCGCAAAAATTTAGAGTACTTGTTAATAACTTTATAAAATAGAGGTTTTAGTTCGCAACTACATTATCCTCCTAGATTGACATTTTTTTTATTTATTACGACATTTTCTTATAGTATTTTGAAAATTTATTTTTTTACCACTATAATTGTACTTTTTTATGTACTTTGTGGTTTACTCAATAAATTAAATTAAATTAAATTATAAATCTTTATTACTAGGGATCCGATTTTTAGGTTCCTATTTTTGTCACCGATTTAGGCATTTTATACAACCTATTTAGGTATCTATTTTAAATTTTTTACGACCTAAAATCCGATCCGTGTTTAATACCTATAATTATATTTAAATAATATGTTTTTTAATTGTATTAAATCAACAATTATACATATTCATAAATAAAAATTTAGAAAAATTAATATTTTATAGAATAGTACATTTTCCGACACGTTCATATTATTATTATAAAAAAAATATTAAAACCCCTTCTCCTTCAAAACCAAAGATACAATTCGAAATCCAGAAATAACTTTTTTATAAGAAATATAACAAACTGGAATAAACTACCTAACGAAATTATTGGTATAATGCATAAAAAACCATTCAGGAAATTTACTAGAAAATGGATATCAGTTAACGGAAACATTTTTCCTTAAGTTTTAATCTATTTATTAAATGTTTGTATTAAATTTTTGATTAAATTTTGTATTATTAAATTTTTGTATTAAATATTAAATTTTTGTTTTAATCTATTTATTAAATTTTTGTAAAACTTCTTTAACAAAATATATAACAAAACAATTATTTCACCAAACACTCCAAATACATACATAATTCTCATTAAATTAATTATTTACATATAAATATTTGGCTTTTTTACATATATTTGGCTTTTTTACATATACATATTTGTCTTTTGACTTTCACCACTATTAGTGTATTTTTTATACCGTATAGTTGCTCATAAATAAATAAATAAATATTTTAAAAATAAAAATATTATTTTCCAAATTATTTTTAGAAAAATTTATATAAAATATTTATTTTAGACACTCTTGCGCACCTAAAAACGAAAACAAAAAAATCTTTTTTTTATTTGTTTTGGCAGTAAATACTAAACAATAAAAAAATATTTTAGTGCTAGCGTGCTTCTTTTCTTTCTCTCCCTTCCCCTACTAATCCCCTCTTGTTGTTGTTATTTTTTTCTAATATAACTCAAAACACCTACACATTTTTTATAACACTTGTCTAGTGTTTACAATACTTGCTAGATAATAATTTTTTATTTTTTACACAAAAAATCTTTTCGGGGACAAATCGATTTTGAATTTTCACTTTTACGCCTATCTGTAAGATAGGGTTACTCTCGAGGTTATATTTCGGGAATGGATGAACTTTTTTTGATTATTTTTTGATCATTCGATAGATAATTAAATTAGCTACAAAATGCTCTAAAAATTAAAATTTACAGTTAAAGAGAAAAAATGTTATAATGGGAAAACTCTAAAGGGTTACATTTATCCCATTATATGCACTCAAATTTTCAATTTTAATCCTTTATCAATTTTATTTTTGAATTTTATTTTTTATTATTTTAATACCAAATTAAATTTACTATTAAAAGTTAACAATTTATTTTTTAAACATTCATCCTTTCTCAGGTTATAGAGTAAAGAGACATGTTACTCAAAAATGTTAGTTTTTTGGCCTTAACTTTTTCTGTTACTAATCCAAAATTTTATTTCTGATTTTATTTTATAGCAAATTTAATTCTCTATCGAAAGATAACAAAAGATTCTTTAACTTTTCATTTTTTCCAAAGTTATTGAGTATAGACTGACGTGTGTCCACAAACAAAGGTGTACCTCCTCCCCTTTTCTTTTTTATTTTCTTTATTAGTTTGTAAGTTAAAATTATTATTCTAAGTTATCTTGTAGCAAATTTAATTCTCTATCGAATGACATCAAAATCATAAAAATCGGTCCATTCATTCACTAGTTACAGTCATTTAAATAGGTTGTGGTATACCCCCTTTACTCACAAAATTTCACTTTCTCCTCCTGCCAAAAAATTAAAAAAAATCCTTTCCGGATTAATTCACCGGAAACAAAAACCGGGAAATAATTGACACATTCTTGCTAAAAAAAGTTAAAAAATTTAAAATTGAAGCCAATCAATCATAAAAAAAAATTTTTGAGCAATTAAATATGTGAGGGGATGTCAACTTAAATAAGTAGATAGAGAGGGAACGTCAGTTAAATATTTGAAACATTAAAATACTTAAAATAAAATGAAAGTGATTGATTGTTAAAATTTTTTCTTTTTTTTTATTTTTGTTGAGAAAATATTTCAATTTTTTTAAATTTTCATTGTTTTATTTTTTTAATCTTCCGTTCATTATATTATAAGGACAGTTAGGCGCAGGCCCCGTTAGGCGCTATCACCTGTAACTTTTGACTGGATACTTAGATTTAGATAATTTTGGTATCATTCGATAGCTTTTTAAATTCTCTATTAAGCAATTATTGTTGGGATATAGTCTTTTTACAATTGTGTACTTATACTAAGATAATCATGTTTTGTTATCATCATGTTTTGATATTATCCGAATATTGACTTATATGTATATCAGGGTTAGAGTCAAACTGATCCATGAAATTAGGATAATTCCAGCCGTCTTCAGTGTCGGGAATCCCTATTCCCGACAGTGGGAATTTAATTTTTGTCGGCTAGATCCATGATATTGGTACGTTGTAGTTCTAAATATTAACCCTCCCCCGATTCCCGAGGGTGTTTTGGAATTATTTTATGAACTATTTATATTTCAGGTCTCTAAACAATTAAAAATAAATTTAAAATATTTTTAAAAGACAATTATTTTCTAAATTTATTTTCTAAAGAAATTTTTTTCGGTTTTTGAACGCAATAAAAAATAAAATTTATTTCCTCAAAGCAGTTTATTTTATTTATTTCTCATTGTTCAGCTTAACGACCTTTTATATATTCTAAGAACATTAGTTTTTTAAAGCCTAAAAATTATTCACATAAAATAAAAAAAACTTTTTTTTTGTGTTTCTGCCATTTTTATTTCCTTAGTTCCTTCAATAGACGTTTATTTATTGCTTGTTACTAGCCATTTTTGTTTGTTTTTCCTTAATTTTACCCCTCTAATTTTCTTTTGCTTCATCTAACATTGCGTGGAACACGTAAATAGTGAATGCTTTTTTACTTTTTTGGCCATTAAATATATGGGGAAATTTTCTTTCTTTTTTTAGTTTTACGCTTTTAAAGGTAGAATAAAGTGTTCCCCGCGACTCATTCTACTCAAAGTTTCATAACTTTTGAGCAAATAAATTTTATTTAACAAATTTGGTGTCATTCGATAGAGAATTTAATTTGCTATAAGAAAAATCTGAAAATTAAATTTTGGGGTAGATTTTCAAAAATTTTTGGTCAAAAAACAAGACATTTTATAATTCTCTCCATTTAAACCAAGTATCATTTCTTCCCTCAAACTTTCTTTATTTCCAACTTTAAATATTTGTATAAATTTATTTTTGTAGCAAATTCTCTCCTCTATCCAAAAATATTTAAAAGATAAATTATTTATTCAGAATTAAAAAAGTTATAAGGCTCAGAAGCGACTGCCACTAATGCTAGTGTGTTTGTCACCTTTTACTTCTTAATTTTTTTTAATTTTTAAAAATTTTATTTTTCCCATTACCGTATTTCCTAAAATAGTACGGCCTGCTAAATTAGTACGGCCCCCTGAAATAGTACGGCCCTTTGGAAGTGGGTTGAAAAATAGTACGGCCACCTAAATTAGTACGGCCCCCTGAAATAGTACGGCCCCCATTTAAAAAATATAAAAAATAGACAAAATTTGTTTTTTTAATCATAGTAATTATTCCTCGCAATATTTAACTAATTTATTGAATCTTAATATCTATTGGTATAGAAATTGGAGTGCTTAAGAGGATATAAGTGGATTAATGGAGATTATGTTGGATTTGGAAGGATATTGTGGATTTGGAGTAATTTAATTATGGATGAATTTAAAAGGATTAGTTAGAATCAAAGTGAATAACGAAAGCTTTTAGTACTAGGAAGTTGCTTCTATCTAAAAATTAAGGGCAACTCAAAACATGCTAGTATCTCCTAAATCAGTATCGGGATTTGAGTTAATGATACCAATACCGGCTTGGGATTTGGATATAAAAATCGGTATCGTTGTTTTCTGAAAAATTTTAATATGAGCAGGAATTAAATAAATTTATTTTCCAATTCAAAGACTATTGTGGATACGGCTCTATATGAATGGGATGGAGTGCCTTAGGCTCGGATGGAGTGCCTTAGACCGTCTCGGAATGGGGTCAATTTTCCTTAGTATTTGATGTTTGTCATAAGGCAAAACTTGTAAAAAATATTTTTTTCTCGGCTTATTTTGTTGGTTGAGTAGAAAAACTCGGTCTTACAAAACTCGGTCGAGACAATTTGTCTGTTGTTGTTTTTCTGTCCCGTTAGTTAGCCTGACGCGAAAATAAAAAATTAAAAATAACAGCACGCGTCCCAAAAGACCCCGAACAAA